CCCAAACCAACTCCGCCATGTGGAGGGGCCGCAAACTCTAAGGCTTGCAAGAAATAACCAAAGTTTTTTTCTTGATCAGCTTGGCCATATCCTAGTATTTCCAATACTTTTTCTTGTAATTCTCGCTGATAAATACGAATGCTGCCACTTAATAATTCTTCACCATTACAAACTAAGTCAAAGGCCTCACAGATTACTTGCTCCGGCTTAATTTTGTTAGCTAGTAAAGGTTGAATATACTTTTCTTGTGGGGTAGTAAAAGGATGACGAAAAGGCTCATATTTTTTAGTCTCTTTATTATATTCGAAAAGCGGTCAATCAGTTATTCAGCAAAAACTCAACTCTTGCTCATTTTTTGGGTTTTTTCGTAAATCAGGCTTATCAGTGCCATACTTTTTCATTACTTGTTGGTAAGTCAAGGTAGAAAAAGGAACTTTTATTTGATAACCAAAAACTTTTTTTAAAACATTTTTCAGAAGCCTTTCAATAAATTGTTTAATTTCTGGAAAAGTAACAAAGCTCATTTCTAACTCTAATTGAGAAAACTCAATTTGGCGATTACTGCGGGCGTCCTCGTTCCGGAAACTCTTGGCAATTTGGTAATATTTGTCAAAACTACTCACCATTAATAACTGCTTAAATATCTGGGCCGACTGTGGCAAGGTATAGTAACGATTTTTCAGATTAGAAGGAACCAAAAAACAATTAGCCCCTTCGGGCGAACTTTGGGCTAAAATTGGTGTTTCAATGTCAACAAATTTTTGTTTATGAAGAAAATTCCTTATTTCATACAAAAATTGGTCTTTGATTAACAAAAGATTTTTGCTGTGGGGACGACGCAAATCTAAATAACGGTAGCGGTAGCGAGTATCCTCATTAATATTAACTTCGTCCTTAATTTCAAACGGTAATTCCTTGCTCTGGTTGATTAGTTGCCACTGGCTTAATTCTAACTCCATTTCTTTGTCAGAACCAGTTTTTTTTTTTAATTGCCCTGATATTTTTAACAAGTCTCCTCTTTTTCTTCCTTTTAATTCGGCAATTAATTCCTGATTTTTAACTACTATTTGCAGATAACCACTACTATCTTGCCCAACCAAGAATAATAAGTTACCTAGTTTGCGAATTTTGCTAATTCAGACACAAAGAACAACGTTTTTATTTAGTCTTTTGTGATTTAGTTGGGCGATTTTTAGGAAAGAGACCTTTATTATCATTAGAAGAATTTTAGTTTGAGTAATTATTTTTGCTTTCTAATATTTGCTAGGCTTATTATTAATATTTTAAGAAGAGTGTTTGCTAGGCAGAACTTCTACTTGGGCTTCTTGCTGATTTTTTTCTTCCGTTATTTTTGTTCCTGTGTTTTTAGTTTGGATTCCTACTCGTACTTGTCGGGTTTCCTTTTCGCCAAGTTGCTCAGAAATTTGAGTTAGTACTTGTTAATATTTTTTTCTTGTAACTGAACTTGGACATTAACATAACTAGAGTCATGAGATTGTCGTCAAAGGTTTTGACAAAATTACTAAACATTGATAAATAACGTTGCGACAAGTTATTGTTAGAAATTCTTAAATAAGTTAGTTCAGTAATACTAATAACGTTTAAGTTCAAGTCAGTCAGATTATATGCGAACAGTCTAAACAATGAATTTTGCAAGAAGGCAATTTTAATTTGGCAATATTATTACTAGAACAATTTAATTCTTCTAAATTATAAAAACTTGTTAAATCCAAAGTTCCTTCTAAAGATTTATTTTGTAAATCTAACTTTTTTGCAGCACTTCTCTGTTGGGACGGATAGTGTTGATCAATATATAATTGGACTTGTGGCATAAAAATTTTATGAGCGAGAAAATTTTTTTCTCTTTACATTTTTACAATTCGGGAGGTTATAGAAAAGGTGGCATTTTTATGCCAAAATTACGGAAAATTTATGACCAGAGAAGTGAAACTTAAACAAAGAAGCAAAAAGTTTTCTGCCTTTAAAAATCAAAAATATAATTAAAGATATTTATTAGAATGAAGACTAAGAAAAATAATTTTCGCCTATTAACCTTTTCAGTTTTTCTTCATTTGTTTTCCAGTTTCTGTGCTTTTTACTTAGACAGTTATACTTGACCAAATGGCTACAAAGAAGTTAATTACTATCTTAATTATTTTTCCTGATGAAGCGTGCAAGCATCTTTGGTTACTTTTATCTACTTTCTCTACCGGCTATTTAAAAAGTCTTCCCCTAATTATTTTGACAAGGTATTTGATTTAATTGTTATTAACGCTAACATTATTTCGATTGGTCTCTTTACAGTTTCAATGATGCCAGTGTGTTGAGGAGGCAAGCCTTGCACAGCCGCACCGCAGAAGCAGGGAATGATTAAATTTTTTTTTCAAATTGACAGAAGGGTATTTTGACGAATTTATGCGATTATTTGGCATTATTCAGCCCCCATTTTAACTATTACTTATTTTGTGCGGCGGAAAGTTAGTTTAGCCAGTACTTATTACAAAAGGAGACAATTATTTTTTTATAGTTTTCTTCATCCCTTTTTATACCTAATTTTTGTTCTTCTGCGACCCCTAGTCCCTGGGTCCGAAAAATATCCCTATGGTAAGTCAGAATATCCCTACTTTTTCTTTGACTGAATAGGAGGAAATAAGTATAATGGCCTCTTATGAAGTTTGGTAACCTTTGCCGTTATTTCCTTTTTTTTATTTGCTTTCTGGTTCTCTACTTTGTTTTTTTGGTGGTATTCCGGTCATAAATTAAAATCAAGGAAGAAAAATACTTTAGAGAAAATTAAACATCAGTAAAATTAAGTTATGAAATTAATAATTTGGTGATTAGCCTTAATGATTATTTTGCCACTTCTTTATTTGTTTTGGT